GGGGGGGGGGGGGGATGCTGGCTGCCTTCCTGCTCCTTTCAGATGATAAACGATCAGAGATGCGTCCTAGCTGAGAGGAGAGGGCCTTTTAGTGAGCATGTGTCCACTAATTTATGGCCTTCCTATCTGATTAGGTCAATATAGTGTGCTATTTAATTACATTTGTGTTATAACCTAGAACTGGAGATGCTATTCTTCTTCCATGGCCCCCCTCTCTTCTGTGAGGCAGATAGGGTCAGCTGAGTTTTCTGTGGTCTCAGGATTTTACTCAGGTCTTACCTGGAATGTTATCTGACAGACATGACGTCTGCTTTGTGTAATGGTTCGTATAGCTTTCCAGTGTTTGTGCTCCGTTACTCAATATGTAAGAATGATAAAGTGGAAAAGTGCTGATCATTGAACGGGTGGAAATTGTGTGGGACGCTTTCTGCTTGTGTGTGTGTGTGTGGTGTGTGTTCTGAAACACACCAAGGGGCAAGAGGATTCAGTAACACTGATTCACTTCCTGTGTTGAAGGAGGACAGAAGGCACAGGAAACAATATTTCAGCGCTGCCTCCTCGTTTCTCAACCCTCAATCAGATTCACTGTATCTTTCTCTGCCTTTTGCCGCCTCTCTTTCATTTGCACAGTATGAAAAAGTGAGTACATATAGCATACAGACACACCACATTATTGATCTTATCAGTACGGACTGTAATTCTGTTCTCTGGCCCACTATATTGACTTCTGCACTGTGATCATTTGCAGTCTGTCCAATGATTAGGTTATTAAAGATAATGTAGTTCTCTGCTGTCACAATATTGGACTCTCTCTTTCAGGCCAACTATGGGAAATCACTTTGAAATTTATCAGTATTGGCATTCGAATCATCATCATGTGCGTCGCTTTAATGCCTCAAAATTAATAGCACAAAGGATGTGCACACTTTTTAGTGTCTATTTGTGAGAGTGCTCAATAACCAGCCAGCATTGTCTTTTATTTGACCTTGTGGAGGAAGGGCGTTGTGTGCGTTAACTGAGTGCATTATATCTATCGGAATGAGTCATTGTATCATGACGTTGTCAGGGTTGTAGCTTATGTCAATCAAAAGGAAATCTAAGTACATGTAGGTAAAACAAATAGTCTCACTTAGCTCGGAAAAACTCAAAAGGCCAAAAGCACAAAAAATTGAAGTTGCATTATTTTTTTTTTTTCAGTAATACCCTAATTAATTGAACAGCTCAGAGTGCTCCAAACGTTCCTCTATTTTGTTTTATCACTGTTATAATAAGAGGAGTTTGTTTTCTTATAATCAGTAGAGCAGTAAAACAGTTTTCTTAAAACACTGCCTGAAAAAGCATTATTACTTTAAGGTATATTCAATCCACTATGTTATCGTTTCATGACTGTCGCTGAATCAAACACTATTTGTTTTGTACTACTAAAATGATTCGGTAACAATTGGAGCCACACGTCTCATTTAGTAACACAACAGTTTCTGTGTACGTTCATTTCTTTTCTTCCCAGTGAGCGCTCCCTTACCCATGACAAGCTCCCCAAAGGGTCAAAAACATATTCGCATTCAAAAGAGGAAACAATTTCAATCTCTTCCACTCAATCCGCATCTGCATCACTCCATGCGATAAACATTTACATTTAAATTGATTTAAATCAGCTGCATTTATGTTCCTCTGTGGTCCGTCCATCATCTAGACCCGCAATGCCAGAGCTTCTCTCTCGCTCTCTCTTTCTTTCTCTCTCTCTCTTTCTTTCCCTTTCTCTTTCTCTCTCGCAGTGTCCTGAGTTATGTGTCATTTATCTGAAATCCTAATAATTTAACTTGGCCCCTCCTGTCGTGGCTGTGCATGTGGTAAGAATGCAGCAGCTGTAAAGAAGGTTTGTGCTGCTGCCTCTGTATGTATCTTATTGGCTTTACACGGTGATTTTCTGTCCAGCAAAATGGAAGCATGGGCAGAGAGGAGTTAATGTGATTGTCCGAATCCAATCCTATAAATGCTCAGCTGTAAAATAATGTGCATATAGGCACATGTAATGTGTCTCGTGCATGTTGCAATAGAATTCAAACACTAGATTTGCATTTGCTCATATAAGAAGCTCTCCTCAGAATGCATCACTAAAGGGCAATAGATGAAAGCTAATTATGATTTAATTATATGTGATCACATTAATCTGACTCACGGATAAACATAGCTGAGGCTGTGCTGATGTTTTCAACAGTGAGTTGAGTTGCAGGGCACAGAGTCAGTGGAGTGGTGTAGTTATGGACCGCAGCGGACGTGGTGAGGGTGGGGGGGTGTTTGGAAACTGAGTGCATTATGTGACTGTGAGTGTGTGCACGTTTGTCTATGTGTGCGTGTTTAAGTGTGCGCGTGCACGAGTTTGTGTTATGCAGGGTGGAGCTGGAGCCAAGCCCGAACCCTGTGTGTTTTACCTGCATCTCAATGAAGCGAGAGAGTTGATTTACCCCTCTGCTGCAGTTAGCCTCTCTCTCTCTCTCTCTCTCTCTCTCTCTCTCTCTCTCTCTCTCTGTGTGTCTCTCTCTTTGTCTCTTTCTCTCTCAGCCAGTCAAACAGACATTGATCTCTTAGCCAGGCAAGGTGACCCACAGTGTTGTTCAGCTCTTCCAAAGTCTCTCCTCTCCCTTTCATTTGTACCTGGGAAAGGCCTTGACCCCACACACTGCTGCCATGTAGCAGCCCTGTGCACGTGGGCCGCACTTCCCCTGTATCAAGAACAGTGTGTGTGTGTGTGTGTGTGTGTGTGTGTGTGCTTCTTTGAGTTAGCAAGAGTGCACACAGAGTAGACACGTGTGTGCAAGTATGTGTGACCAGTGAGTGTGTGTATGTGTGGAAGTATGTATACATGCCTATGTGCGCGCGTGTGTGTGTGTGTGTGAATGTTCCTCTGTGTCTGGCGTGGTGTGTTTATCAAGCTCTTTGTTTGTCTTCACCTATAGGTGTGTGTGATTATGTGCACATTGATTCATATGTGGCCCAACTATATAGGTATATATAGGTCTGGGCTGTCTATGTTGATGTGTCAGAGCATTTTTCGGGTGACGGCAGACTTGTCTGTGCTGTGAGCTCCTGTATAGCTGAATGGGTCAGAGTCCATTTGGCCCCAGTGTGAGTCGGATTACAGGGAAATGAATGGCCCTCATTGTTGCTTAAAGATGGATTGGGGGGGGGGGCATTAATATACTTTGTCGCTCCTTCGCCTCAATTCGTTCTCCTGAAACCCAGCAAACCGTTTTTCAGGATCATTTGGTTTTTAAAGCAGGTTTTCTTTATCAGCGGTCGTCCATAACATGTGGTCGTATGTACGCTCACATGTGTACATATTATATATGCTCACACAAACCTTACTGTCAGACATGCATAAAACCCAAATCAACATAAACGTCTAGATATGGTCCTCACAAACCAACGGATCTGAGAGATTAATTTCAGACATGTATGAACTAATACATTTATTTTTGTTAATTATTTAAAAAAATGCACTTAAAAATGTATTTATTTTAATGAAGGAAGGGGTGGTTATATAATCACAGTGTTTTATTAATCATTGTAGGAACATAATGTACAACTTGAAGTTTATTTTAGATATACTTTTGATGAGTATTGATTTTGCTTTTGAAGAACTGCGCAGTGCGTGTGTGTGTGTGTGTGTGTGTGTGTGTGTGTGTGTGTGTGTGTGTGCGTGTGTGTGTGTGTGTGTTAGAAGCGTGCATGTGCATCTGTATTCATGTCTTGGAAAATGAGGTAGATAAAATGTATTCATGAGAATAAGCCAAATTACAAAACAATTCTAAACATTCCATTCAAATCTAATGACTGATATCTGTTTGGTTGAAATTCATAGTTGTTTCAAACTGTTAATCTAAATTGTTAGCCTTGAATTAAAATATTTGAGGTTCATAATTTCAAATTGCTTGATAGCCTTTTATGAATTCAGCTCTTATGTACATTTTAGAAACAAATATGAATGCCACAAATGTATTGTTCAGTTAAAGTTGTATTGTTTTTTCTAAAAAGACTAATATTACTCTCTGTCTGCAGTAATTCATGCTTCATCTTTGCTCTCTCAGTCATGTCACTTTTCTTTTTTAATCCATGGTCCATTTTGGAACCGAACAACCATTACTTAATGTTCAAAGTGTTTTTTTCCGCTATAGCAGAGCTTCCTGTGTTGTTGGATCACACTCTGGGTTTTATAACACATTTCTGTTTCCTGTTTTCGTAGGACGTCAAGAAAATTCCTCCATCTGTGATCGAGAGCTCTGACTTCTCCGTCCCACCACCCTGGAGTCTGAGGTAACGTCTTCTGCTCAGGTTTTTTAATCTTCGACACTCTTTTACTTTACAACACAAGTTAATCGATGACATTTACATTGTTCAAATATTTAAATCTAATGTCAAATTAAAGAAATATGAAGTGTGCGTGTAGAAGTGTGATGATCTAAATTTCTCCTGTATGTTTATCAAAATACAGCACGTAATGTTCACACTAAGCCTTAAACTCTATTGTGATAAGTAACTGATCCATTACAATGAGGTAGTCAGAATTAATTTAGGTATATATTATTGGTTATTTACATTTACAAAACTTTGGATTTAAACACAAAAGGACTTGGTATCGACGTCTTTGATTCAACTTTATACCCGAAAAAGTCCACTTTATAATTAAAAACAAAAAGACGGGTTGCATCCAAGCAAAGCATTTTAAATATACTATAATATGAAAACACAAATCATCCTGTAAATGCTGATCAGAATTGCTTCACAATTTTTAATCTTTTGAATTCATTGTTTGTACTTACTTATTATACAATTCACATTTCTTGTTACCTGCTCTCTCTCTCTCTCTCTACTTCATTCAAAAGAAAACAATTCAAACAGGAGCCTTGAATCTGTAGCTCCGTGACATCTTGATATTTTCAATATTAGTTCACATTTGGCAAAAGTTAGTATAATGTCTCAGACATGAAGTAAGGGTGTTGTATCTTACCTCTGAGTGAAATTAAAACCACTCTGTTATATTGGTTTTATTTAATAAGGAAGCACTCATTTGGGACAGCAGACACCAGGCGGGTTTCATTATTAGATATTTTTCTTACTTCTCATTTAGCTCTTCAAACACTCTGCCAACCTTTGTCGTGTGCGATGTTATGCAGTTTTATGCTTTGTGGCTGTGACAGTGTTGTTTGATTGACAGGAGGGTGACATGCGCAGTGCTCATGGGATGAGGCCAAAACTTTTGCCTTGACCCTTTGACCTCCTTCACTCTCTCAGCTCTCTCTGCGGAGACAAACACTGGACATTATTTTTTGTTTGTGGCTGACACGCAGATGGACGGATGGTGGGATAGCAGAAGATGGCGGAGGATGATGGAGTGAGGGAGGGAAAGCGAAGGCTAGTTTGTTGCGTTCTCACGTTGCCGGTTAGCAAAATAGCTGGAGAGGAAGGATGGATGTAAGGAGTCGAGGCAAAATTAGGGAAGGAGTTAAAGGATTGAGGACAGGAAGGGACCTGGATTTGAATGCAAACATTCACGTTAGGGTGAGAGAACAGGAGGAGGTGAGGAGGCGAGGGAAGGGAGGAAGGGATGGCAGGAGGGCTCCTGGCCGTGGATGCAGACAGACAGGCAGGGTAACCAGAGGCAGGCGGTGACCTTCTCTGCTGCTGGATGATCGAAGGCTTTATTTAAAGGCCTGGTCAATGCTGGGTGCTGCTGAGGTATCAGCCTCGCAGCCAGGCGACTCATCACCACTGTAATACAACTCTCTAACCCTAACCCCCCCCCCCACACACACACACACACACACACACACACACACACAGAACACGACAGGACACTCTCTGGACACCTCAGGTTTTACACGGTACAGTCGAGAGGCTGGACAGAGGAAACTACAGCCTCAGCATCGGCTAATTTTACTGTGCAGCAGACAGTATACTCCGCTTTCCTCATGTGCTCAGCATTGTGAAGCACATGCTTGTTTTGCCTTTGCTATGCACTCCATCTCTGTCCATTTTTCTTTACCGTTGACCAATTATAGACAGCATAATGCGCGATTTTATATGTGACGCACTGATACAGTGAGGAATGAGGTGATGATGATGAAGAGTTAAAAAGTGACAGAATGCAGGCTGCTAAGGTAGTACACCTGCATCTATATATGTGTGTGTGTGTGTGTGTGTGTGTGTGTGTGTGTGTGTGGAGTGGAGCACGTGCGCTCGCATGTGTGTGGCTGCAGCGTTAAGACACCTGCATGCTTCAGCACTTTCTGGCTGTCAGGAGCTCTGAGGTCACAGGCAGGGGAGTGGAGAGGGCACATTAGAGGAATCTTCAGAGCCCCCACCCACCACGCCTCCACGATCCTTCCCCCTGCACCTCCCACCAACCCTCACTTTTTCCTCTCTACCCCGTTATCCCCCACCATCCCTCCACCACCACCTCCTCCTACTCGTCTACCCCTTGTGGAGACGGGGTGAGTCGGCCACCGGCGGGGGGGGGGGGGGGGGGGGGGGGGGGGTACAGCAACGCAAGGTGCCTCTGTGGCTGACAGCAGGCAGGTCAGGTTTTTGTACACGGCAGGAAGGACAGACGCACACAGACGCATCAAGGTGTGTAAGAGGAAGGAAGAGAGAGAGCACATATTTAAGTGCTTGCGTGGATACATGGGCTGTGTATGGAAACACCTAGAAAGCTTTTGTGATAAAATTTCGGTTAATATCAAAGCGTAAAATACAACTGGCTGTTCACGAAATATATAAATATCAACCATGCAGAAGATTGATGTTGATGCATATCATGATATCTGTTTTGGCATTTTAATGTTCATGACATTGGACTACATTGTAACGGGAATCAAACTGGAGCATTTTCAACTTCTCACAAAATACTAAAATAAGGAACATAGTCAACAAAACTGTCATGATTTATGATATTGAAGCAAAATTCCACAATATAATTTGAGATGATGTACAATAAATCGCCCACCGTTAATTGAAACATTGAATTGTCACTTATAAAACACTGCAGCTGTGTTTTGCTCCATCCACTGACACACTTCACTATCCATTTACTGCCTGAGATATATATAACTACTAGCTGCTGAGTGTGAGACTCGTTACACTGTTACAGTCTTGATAGCGACACAGACGTCACCCCTCAATCCAGAAAAGTCAAATGACAGGGAGGATATGAACAGGATGTATGCTCATCATTAGGCCTGGGCTGAAAGAGGGGAAGCAAGTAGACTTGGGGTCTGGATTAGAAAAATATGTCACTCACTGCAGTTAAAGACACACAAAACTGAACACAGAACAACTGTGTTTAGGTTTGGATTGTTTTTAAAAATGTGTTATGTGTTTTTACTTTCTTTTTAACCACAGACAAGATGATACTTGAGGAGAAAACTGCACCCCCGAGACAAACCTCTTAACATCAACGCGCTCCTCTTTTCAACTTATGTTAATATACAATTTTCTCTCAGATTTTTCAGTTGTTTAAGCCCGGATTGTGTTGTTTTATTCAAACATAATTAGTTGTAAATCTGCTACCATTGTGTGTATGTATGAGTGTGTGTGTGTGTGTGTGTGTGTGTGTGTGTGTGTGTGTGTGTGAGAGAGACCCTCAGAGCCACTGTTGTCCTCAGGTTGTGACTGTGTGTTCACAGCATGATTGAGAGAGGAACTTGTGATCAGCCGGAGGTTAGTGTGATGAAATGTATTCCCCTGAATCACCGCAGCCAGGAGCCCAGGGCCTTCCTCTTCCCCGCAGCCTCCTTCCCCTTACACACTCACACACACACACTCCTTCCTCGCTCCCCTCGCGTCACCTTCCCCTCCTCTCTCTTCCCTGCGGTGACTGCCCAATGCTAGCTGCTTAGCGTTGCACCCAGCGCCTAATTGAATTCCAACACACCGGCGTTAGCTCCCGATGCTATAGAGATGTTAACACGGCACAATACTAACAGTCCTCGGGACGTGTTTCAACACCCAGCTCCTAAAGAGAAAATTAGGGCTAAGCTCACTCTGGCAGCACATGATTTATTCAGAGCTCCAAACTATGTCTTCTGTATCCCCTAAAGGGTCGTCTTTTATAGCCATGAGCGAATCAGCACTTCATATACCCACATGCAGCACATGCAGAATTTGTATTGTGGCTGCGCCATTGGTAGACAGAGTGTGTGTTTCCTCTCGCTTCTCACGCTTCTACTGAAGTGCATCTATTGTCCCTAATATAAATGTGTCTGCTGGTCTCTCTGCATCCATATTGCTGGCGACGCCGTCCATCCCCTCTCCCTGACACCCTCACTTTTATTCCCTGGCTCTCAAACACTAGCTCTGGGCTTTAATGGCACATATTTCCTGGGCCCGGCTGAAACGGGATGCATCTTCTCCTTGTTAGCTTGATAAATAACCTGGCTGCTGGGAAAGTGCTGAATTTGAGCTTTCAGCCTCTATTTTCTGCTGGATGACATTAATTTTAAGTGCTGAGAAGGAACTAACTAATACAGACAAATAAATAAGGAGGAGGAAGGGAAGGTGCAGAGGTGCCGGAGTCACTCTGCCGTCCCTCCCCCTGTTACCCGTTTACACACAAGCATTTATATATGCAATATGCAAACCTGCAAAAATATTCAATAGACACAAGCGGCGCACACTTAGTTTCTCAATAGATGCTTGTGTTGTTTGCCAAACTGTGAAATCCTCTTGTCCCATTATTCGTAGGACTCCTGCAGAGGTCAAATGTTTAACATGTTGCAGGTAGACAGACAGTCTGTCAGGTAGTCAGATCGGCTCCATGCTCCACTATCTACTGTCTGCCTCCGTCCTCCTCTCTGTCTGTCCCTCTCATTCTGCCTCCTGAATTCTGTGTTTCATCGGGAAAAAGAGATTAGTGTGGCAGCAAAATGGTGGCGGATCACAGCGCACAACACTGTGGAAAAATTATAAGAGCTTATGGAGACGACAAAACATAGTTCAGGTTTGAGTCGAAGCAGCTCATTAATGGATTGCAATTATAATATTGAGAGTATTCTTTTTTTTTGGTGGAAAAAAACGATTGTTGCAGAGAAGATGAGAAAAAAGATTTGCTTTCAAGCTGAAACACTGTTATATAAGTATATTTAAACTGGATGAATAAATGTTCAATTGCATGTTTGTGTGTGCTGCGACAGCCTGAGAACACGTTGGGAAAAGAGTCTCTCTTTGTGTATTTACATCATGTTGCCTGCACATTTCTATTGCTGTCTTTTCCCTTGATTTTTGTTTTATTTGATTTAATTTAATTTGACATTTTTTTA